GAGTCAGTTACACAGGAAGATTTAGTTACACGTATGAGGAGTCAGTTACGTGTATGAGGAGTCAGTTACACATAGGAAGAGTTAGTTACACATATGAGGAGTCAGTTACACATGAGGAGTCAGTTACACGTATGAGGAGTCAGTTACACGTATGAGGAGTCAGTTACACGTATGAGGAGTCAATCAGACATATGAAGAGTCAGTTACACGTATGAGGAGTCAGTTACAGATAGGAGTCAGTCACACTTATTTATTATAATACCTTTATAGAAATAAATATAATCTTTGACATACTTTCTTTCAGGAGGCAATGTGGTTTGTGTAAACCTATGGGGGAAAGAGTCTGGTCCATGGATGCAGGCATTGCATTTTTTCTTTGCCTTTGGGTCTACTGTGGCTCCTCTTATAGCAGCCCCATTTCTCACCGCTTCATCGGAAGCTGGAATGCTGCTCAATGGAACAGTGACACCAGCACCAACAACCATACCAACAACATCATTAGTGTTAATTGCTAGTAACACATCTGAAGTAGTTTACGTACAACAGAGTACTGGTGTTATGTATGGAAGTAACCACCAGTCTAAAAGAGACACAGACATGGCTAAATTCAGCATGTTGTTGGATGAAATGATTGAGCGCATTGAACGAAGCATTACCGATGACATTCCACATGGAAAACCAAGTATGTTAACCACTACTAACAGCACAGGTGGTAGTGTGGTTTACCTAAAGCAGTCAACAGAGTTTCCAGAAGAAGCAATGTCTGAAGAACATGCTGAAGATGGAGAAATCCAATTCACTGATGTGTATGATGGCTGGAATGACACACACGCTGGCAATGAGGATGACATCGCCATAAACAGATCCACCCTCATTGTTCCCTATACTATTGTAGCAATATTTAATTTGCTAGCATCTTTGCCTTTTTTCTTCTTTTATTGCATAGGATCCCAACCATGCTTGCTCAAGAAAGAAGCCAATAATGAGGCAACTGCTGATCATGTGGAAAATGAGAACGAAACTATTGTATTTCGGGTCACATTGTTATTTCTTTTGTTTCTATTCACATTTGTTTACGTGGGGCATGAAAGTGCATATGGCGGATTTGTTTATACGTTTGCCATGAAATCTGACCTTGATTTCAATGCTCAGTTTGCCAGCTATCTGAATTCAGCATTTTGGGGAAGTTTTGCTCTTTCACGTGCAATGGCAATTGGGGTAGCTATGTTTATGACACCAAGGGCAATGTTGATAGCGGATTTATGTGGCCTTTGTGTTGCCAGTTCCCTCCTAGCTGCATTTGGTGATCAAAATATGTACATCCTGTGGGGTGCTAGTATTCTTCTTGGTATATCAATGGGGTCTGTGTTCCCTTCAGGGTTGGCTTGGGCTGAACGTTATATCGAGCTAACTGGAAAAGCAACATCTGTATTTGTCATTGGAGCTGCATCTTCAGAGATGGCGTTTCCTTGGTTGCTAGGCTACCTGATTAAAACATTCAGTGTTTCTACCTTAATGTATGTTATCTTATCCCTGTCACTCAGTACAACTATTGTTTATATAATTATGCAAATAATAGCTTCTAAGAAAGGTGAGCGGGTTACCAAGGACGTACATTCTGAAATAAATAGTATAGCTTAAGGCCACATTACAGTATGTCATGTGACCAAATCACACTTTGATGTTTATAAGTGAAAAATTAAATTTCCTGTTAATTTGCTTTTGAATAAAGATGGTTCAACCATTCAAACTATTTTCTCATTCGTATTGTAATGTATGTTCATGGATCAATAAGCGACTTGTTTGTTCTATTGATATATAACACTTAATAAAGGCATGATTGAACATGGATACAGTGGAAACCACACCAGATCTATGCTCTCCTTTGTAGTTTTTTAGCTCCGCTGTCGACTTTGTCGAATGGAGCTAATCATATGAGTGATTGTTCGTCGTCGTCCGTTGTCGTCTGTCGTCTGTGTCAATGTTTTACTTTTTCGACTTCTTCTTGAAAACTATAAGCCTGAATGCTTTGATACTTGGTGTATATGTACCTTGGGTAGACCTCTCTTTGATTTGTTCATTTCATGATGATATCTTCAATTCTCTAATTTTGGTGAATATTTTTGTCATTTTTGGTAAAAGTGATATTTTCGACTTCTTGTTAAAAACCACAAGTCCGATTGCTTTGATATTACATATATAGGTACTACAT